TGTGCTTGAGAATGTTAAGGGAGTCGGTTCCGGTCTGATATGTCGAAGAATTTTCCGCAATAACGTTCTTTTATAGTAGTTCGTAAACAAAGTCCAGATGCCAAACATGAAATTCTCTGTCCATGCTCAAGATCAAACAGTCGCTGACATACGCGTGCACGATATCGAGACCCCTAAATAAGTCATCGATGAATCTGTGTAAAGTTTGTGCAACATTTCTCAAACCGAAATTCTTAGAATTCCAAACGATTTATTGCAGCCGTTTTAGACCTGCTGTCTGTAGCCATACGGATTTAGTTATATACTTTAACCAGATCGATTTTTGATAAAACAGTTATGTTCTTTAATGTATATATCAGGTCGTGGAAGTGTAGTAAGTAGTATTGATCAAGGATGGTTTTCGTCTTAGGTCACCGATAACGACCAGTTGGGTGCCAGTCATTGCTGTCTTTTTCGTTGACCATTTGTAACGTAGATGTTCATGGGATGTTCAATGGCCGGAAAATTTCCAATTCTATAATGAACTGGAATTTATTTCTGACCAACTTTAACTTATCAGGAGCTAGCCGGGGTGTTCTTAAAAACACAGGTGGGACTGAAGGCCTGGTGGATACGCATGGTAGTTCCTGCCATGTTTGGCAAGACTATACTTTATCGACGGCCTTTGAACGAATCTTACGTGACCTTGAGAAATATTAGCCAATCAGTGAACAATCAGCATAGAGTAAAAATATATTATACAAAGAATTAAAGTGACTTCACTTCTTTTATATGATTCAAAAACTTATCAAGGTTAGAAAGAGGTTTAAAGTTTCTAAAATTTTAGTGCACAAGATAGAAGAACAAACCATATGGCTCGATATCAGTCTATCTCTGGAGCCATGATAAGGTCGTAAAACACTCTTAGCTCCGACCACATAGCTTTAATATTGTTTGCGTGTACTCCAGTTTTGTTGTAGTGCCGGTTGATATGTTAAGCTTATATACCTTATTCTAGCTTCTGGCCGAACCAATTCTCCTATCTATCGTGAGTAATGTTTTCACCATTTTAATTATTGGCTTATTAACCCTGACCATTTTTACCTGAGCGTAGGTGTGTGTATACTTCTTATCCTATTTATCACATATCTGTCATTTATTCTTGTCTGTCTATAAATATTGATTAACGCCTGATAAAAGTGAGTTGGCTTACCCGTCATCTACAATGCGCGTCTTTTATGATTCGCTCGCTGATATTTGGTCATGTGCTTGTGACTTTGTGGCCTGCGTCATTTGATATTAAAATGTAGTCGCAGCTTCTCTTTGCCTCCTGATTTCATGCACCGTATGGTTCGAACGCTTTCTGGAGTTGGTCGGCGGCCTGAAGAGTAAAAGATAAACCCCATGTACGTGGATGACTTTAAGAAATACTGTCATTTTTCCGGATATGGCAGGAAACCATTATCACTGATCTGTTGCAGAACAGCCATCTTCGATCCGCATAGCTCTCCTAACGAGATGACAACAATTCAGATATCATCAAGGTAAGCTGCGATCCACGGGATATCCAATAGAATGGTGCCCGTTAGTCGCTGAAAAATAGATGGAGCGGTTTTAACTCCAGATGTTAGACGGTTATACTGATATAGTTCAGGATGCGTATTAGTGGGAAGCCGTCCTCCTAATTCTTCAACCACATTCACTTGTAATTAGGCATCAGCTGGGGCCAACTAAGCGAAGAACCTCCCACCTCTTAGTATAGTGAATAAATCTGAAAGGAATCGGCAGCGCGTAATGCTGTTGTTTAAGGGTTGCGTTAAGGCCCATTAACAAATCTGCGAATATATATGTTGTGCCATTTGCCTTCTTCATAACCACATTTAATGCTGCACAACCTGAATAAGAAATAATCATGATGACTGCTTGTAGTTGTAGAAGATTGAATTTGTAGTGGTATTCGTTCCTAACCACACGATTCATGAAGCTGAACATGTAATTACTAAGAGTATTTACACTTGGAGGATGTCGGTAGTGGTAGCGAAAATGAATCGAATAGACATGGCTCTGTCCTGCCGGTGTGGCCACTCTTCATAATTTCTTACTCTAGTATCAAATATATTACTCCCTCTCCGGCTAAAATGTGTTCTTGGAAAATGCTAGACGTCTTATTACTGATAAACACGATTGAACGAGTCAGTATAGGCAATAAGGTGAACTTCACGTCAGATCTTATAGATCAGGTAGTTGGTTTCATGGCGGAGAATCGACTCAACAAAGGTTGGGAGATGGTCTAAGACTGTTTCACTAGCTTTTTTGTGTATGCTTTCGGTTCAGGGGCTTGTATTGCCAGATGGCGCATGGCATTTGGAGGGTCGTCAAGTAAATAAGGTAGATCGAACCAATCAGAATCAACTGAAATTAGATCATCTGGAGTAACGCGACACACCACGAAGAACGCCGATTCTCCGGAAGACACTACACAATCTAATTGTCACAACGAAATAATTACCACATACTGTACGAGGATTTTGTGTTGTCAACCTCACGTGTCGGCAGCCTATTTCGATCCAATGCTTTTGGAACAATGTGGTAGCCTATTCAGTTTCCTTGTTTGACAGAATCCATCTTTATTACTAATGGATTTATGTTTCCTGTGATAATGTTGTTTAACTGGACAGGTTCGTACAAAATCCCACACACCATAGTGCCAGCAGGGAGTTGAAGGACTACTCCTCGTTCTCTGAACTGCGCTCAGGTAAGATGGTCTGAAATAAGAGGATAAGATTTGACCACGTTAGTTAGATGCTGAACTACGTGATTGAGACCACCTCATTTAACCTTTGCAGTGTGGTGCTGAGAATTAGTTGGATGTCAGTATCCAGTTGCAATATCGCTGTGTGTCATTCTGAGGTCCTGATTCAATCAGCTCATTAACCGCATTTGAATGACACTGGACTTGCGCGATTGGGGACTGCGAATGGGGATAGGGACTTCAAATCGATCGCCGGTTATGTACTACAGCTGGAAGCAATCATTTTCACTCACTGTCTAGTAGGAAATCAACTATGAACGTTTCAGAGTTTCAGAGTACCAATCAAAGCCGACATTAACTCTCGACATTTATAGTTAGTATGACGAATAAACACCGTGTAAATGAATTGTCTAAAAGCATACTGAATGAGACACACAATGGGCACTGAAAATAACGACCGTTTGTATATAATGCTTTGCTGAAATGTCCGTCATATTTTTTATCGAGTAATGCGAATATCAGTCTTATACTTGTAGGCTTGGTTAAATTCCTGATCTCCTCCCGACTGCTTTAATCTTCAAACTCCTTCATCCATAACTTCTAGTTTGACTGGATTTAAAACCCTTGATAATGAAGGCGTTTCTGAAAGAGCGTTGTCTATTGCTAAATATCCGTGACATTCTTAAGATGGATCTAAATTGTCGAGTGTCAATTAACCTGTGCGTCAGTTGTGTTGATTTAATGTACCTAGACTAAGCGTACTAGGTAACCACTTACCTGCTGTCAATTTACATTAACACTGTCCCCAGCAACCTTAACTTATTTGAATAATATCTAACATGAACAGTGGTAAACCTGACGGACATATTTTGGTAATCATTGTTTTGTTGTTTCGTGCTCTCTTTTTTTTATTTTACTTTCTCTAGTTGTAGATAATTATCAATAATTCGTCCAGGAAATAACCTTAAAGAACACCGTTCATAAATCATCAGGCTTGAATTCTGTAATTATTATTTTCAGAATTAATATATTATTATTATTGTCTAGCCAATGAGTTTTAGGAAACATAGTTTCCGAGTATTTGGATGCTGTCACATCGTCCTCAACACATCAGCAAATTGGCTCAATAATTGAAATCCGATAAGCTTAACTCGCCTGCCGTTTGCTACTGTTGAGTTGTGCTCACCATATGGATTATTAGAATAAAGATAAAGAACACCTAACATTTACTGTCTACTTTCTAGTCCAATCTATTATTTGAATTAATTGTTGTTTGAAATTAAGTATAATCATATACCTTTTAATTAGGATTTTAGTTCCCTAACTTTGTAATATGGATTAAGATATCCAAGTTTTGCAGGATGAAGTTGTAGTGGATGTCGAGTCGAGGACGGACTATGATCACCACTACAATACGATTACGCGCCCAATAACGACTTGGTTCCTTTGATAGCTCGTAAATCAGAAGACTTTATTAATACAGATCAAGTATATTTATTGGCGATCTCGTGGTATCGAAATAATACTGAGACGTGCCAAAGAGTATAGGCAAATTGAGCAGTGCGTGAGCAAGTTCGAACCAAACAAGGCGGAGAGCGAAACAAGAAGTGAAACTGATACAGTTAAACAAATACAGTAAAACAATCTCTGGTACAATTGATTACAATAATAATAATTGTTTCTGTTATTCCAATCGTGTTCTTATCGAAACTGGCCGGTCACTACAAAGTCTTTAATTTAATATAATGGCATTTGACAGCTGTATCAAATTGTTTATATGATTACATATAACAGGAATACAACTAGACTTTGAAAAAATATTCCAAAAAGAAAAGGTTTTCATTTCGAATACATTCTTCGATATCTCACAGGTGGAATTCACCGTGATTTAAGACTAAAGCGCTCAAGACTGTACAGGTCAAAAACTTCGCTACTAGGTCCAGTTTTTTAAAATCTTTAGTTCAGTCTATAGTGAAAACGTTTATGTGCAACTTCCTTTGATTTCCTTTACAACGAGTTCTCTTAAGCAACGAACAGCTGAATATGAAAAAAACAAGCTTCTGAAAATTTTCCGATCCGCAGCAAATAGACAACCACATGTCATAGTAACATAGTACGACAAATCAAAGAAATTAAATTTTTTCATCTTCAATTATTTATCATTTGTAAGGAGACACTGATATGTGCCTCATTGATCTTAGGGCTATATTAGTACGTTTTGTTTTAGTGAGCTAAAGGTATATTAACCATTTGTACTCTGACCATAAGTAGTTGTGTACGTGATTAAAGTTCGTAAGCAGTTTGTTTCTTGACTGTAAGTTCTATTATACTCTGGATTGCTAAGTCATCAAATCTTAGCCACACCATATCGTAATAAAATGTCACGCTTCCAACCTTACCTAACTGAAGCTCAAGAGAATGACCTACGCCGAATTGCTCAAGCTATTTGTGCTCCTGGCAAAGGAATTCTAGCAGCTGACGAAAGCACAGGTATTTCCGCCCTAATTTTCATTTAGTTTTATTTCAAAAGCCACAATGGGCAAAAGACTTCAACAGATCGGCGTTGAAAATAACGAAGAAAATCGTCGTCTGTACCGCCAGCTGCTTTTTAGTGCTGATCACAAACTGGCCGAAAATATCTCTGGAGTAATATTATTCGAAGAGACACTTCATCAAAAGTCAGACGATGGAAAGACTCTTCCAACTCTACTAGCTGAACGAAATATCATACCAGGAATAAAGGTTGATAAAGGTGTTGTTCCACTTGCAGGCACAGACAATGAGACAACAACTCAGGGTCTTGATGATCTTGCTTCACGCTGTGCTGAATATTGGAGACTTGGATGCCGCTTCGCTAAGTGGCGTTGTGTTTTGAAGATCTCTTCACACACACCTTCTTATCTAGCTATGCTCGAAAATGCTAATGTACTTGCACGTTACGCTTCCATCTGTCAGCAGGTTAGTTTAATAATCAGACAAAACATTTTTCCCATCAAATTCTTTTAATAAGTTTTTAACAAACAGAGTATGTTAACAACTGCGTTATTGGTAGAAATTAAGGGTTTCGAAACAAAAGAGCTTAAAATTTAATAAAACATTAAAAAGATGCTGAATTGCCCTACACAACAGCCAAAAAATACCAAGAAGCTGCGTAGCCGGTTAAATTCACACTCCTTACACTAATTGTAGTACATATATTTTGCGATTTATTAACAGATTGTTATTCTAAACTTTATGTATGAAATGAAGTCTGATATTGGCTGGTGATAAGCAATGAGTCTTGTATTTTTGAGAACTCTGGTAAGCCTTGCTCTCAGGCCGGCGAACATGCACTCATTATTTAGCGGTCATCTGTGGTTTATAAGCTCCTGATTTCCAATGACTTCAGAATTATGGCACTTAATATTTCTGGAGAAGACATCATATTATTCTTGCAGTACCGTTAATTATCGAGATTTATTTATCTGACATTAATTTTGCCTGTAATTCATCGTTCTACGATTTTATGTCAGCTTGTGGTTCGCCTATTATCCTCATCAACGTGCGTGGCTTCGTATTACCTAGAATAATCTTTGAGTAGTGGTTGATCACAGATATATCATTTTAATAGTGACAGACTAAATAGTACATTGAACTGTTTATTGAGATACACCTAATACATTCTAGCACCCATAGAGATATTATATCACCCATATTTACTCTTTTCAGCTCTTAAGTAAAGATACGTATCTCTAACTGAACCATGTTGGTAAATGCAGACTATTTAGTTGAAGTCCGCGAAACTATGGTTACCAGTGGTCGGAGACTCTGGGTGATATGACTCAGAATGGGCTACAACGGCGTTGGTGTGGGCACTCTTTATCTTCTCTTAAACCATGATATCAAAACTATTTTATAACTTTTTTAAAGCAATAATTCTTTCTCCTTTTATCGCATCCTTATATGCAGTCTTTTGTGTATGCTACTACTATTGAAGTGACTGCTTTTAAGAATTTGTTGTTCATCTTGCTGTGCAAATGAGGTATGGTAATTTGAACCGATGCATACATGTGCCCGACTCCATGTTGTAGATGACTGACTGTTCTGTAATTCTGGTATTAATTAGGATTTTTCCGTTTTCGGTCAGAGTCTATGAAATCTCAAAAGAAACTATAAAGTGTCTGACTTGACGTTAGCAAATGTATTATTTTTGTCGACTGTAATCTACTGGTCTTAAATCCCCATTTTATTAAAACCACAATCAACTTTTATGTCATGCAAGCTATGATGATATTAAATTATTTGCTATCAGTTCAGGTTATTAATTAAGTACATGACAGATCATTCTGTTTTGTATACAACTAAGACAAAACATCCATCGAAGGCAGTTATTTAGAGTTGTATTCAAGAAAAAAATGTATGCGCTATTTTCGTCATAGTATAAACAAAACTACGTCTTTAGCCCGTACTATGTCGCTCGAAAATGCTTTGTGGTGGTGCTTTACTTATTCATATGTATTATTTTGAGTCATGCACTAAATGTTTGCGAATTGAGATTCAGCCTTAATACGTAATTTTCAGGCCTGAATTAGAGTTGAAGTTCTGTACTGCTTAACGATTCCTACAAAAGTGTTGGAGTTATAAATTTTTACTTTTATTCTTCCTAGTCCTATTCCTGAAGTTTAAGAACAGTTACAATGTGGTTTGCTTATAATAAAAGTTAGTAATGAAGTGTAATTTCAATTTAAAGAGCTTCCTTGTGCAGAACAGTTGTTCGAAAGGCTCTGTGGAGGTGTGAGATTGCTAAAGATGGAGAAGCGGAAAGTGAACATTGACCCACTACGGCAGCTAAAGTTATGGAGATCTACTTGAAAATTCTTGTGATATTCGTACCCTGAACATTATTTATTTGATAAATTATCCGATAATTCACTTTTATTATTTATTAAGCGTTAATCGAATAATTTTTATTTGCATGGTATAAGAGCTTCAAATAAGTCTTCGCAAACATTGTAAATTTTAGAATGGTTTGGTACCGATTGTTGAACCTGAGGTGCTTCCTGATGGTGATCATGATTTACTAACTGCTCAGAGAGTAACAGAACAAGTTTTGGCATTCGTGTACAAGGCTTTGGCCGACCATCATGTTTACTTAGAAGGAACGCTTTTAAAACCCAATATGGTTACCGCTGGACAGGCCTGCAAAAAAGCTTACACACCACAAGAAAATGCTTTAGCTACTGTGCGAGCTCTTCAGCGCACAGTCCCTCCAGCTGTTCCAGGTATGATTTCGATTTTTGGTTAATTAATTTTGAACAAGCTATGGTGGAATGCAATCAAACTTCTCCGTTTTCAACTGCTTGATTTTAGGTATCACATTCTTGTCCGGAGGTCAATCAGAATTGGACGCTACTAAAAATCTGAACGAAATCAACAAGATTCCGGGACCAAAGCCATGGGCACTCACTTTTAGTTTTGGTCGTGCTCTGCAGGCTTCAGTCTTAGCCACATGGAAGGGAAAGAAAGAAAATGTTCATGCGGCTCAGGAAGAGCTATTGAAATTGGCCAAAGTAAATATATGAGTTTACTTTTGCATCTGTTTACATTGGTTTTAATAAAATTGTTCGGTTTCGTTCCGCATTTAAATTTATTTACCCTTTTAAAAGATAGAAGAAACGCTCAAGTCCTAGAGCTACCAACACATATAAATGTTGTCGGGAGTTGATATAGAATTTCATCAACATTTTTAATACCCCTTTCAATTACGTAACTAGGTGAATTATTCAACGTTAACTGCCAATTTTTTTTGAGGTCGATAACTTTTTTTGTGGTCTTTAAAACAGGATACAGGAAATGCTATTCTACAAGAGCGCAAATAATGCAGATGACTTCTAAGGGATTTTTCATTTGTTATTACAATATTTAAATACTAACAGACGCCTTCATATTTTAACCCTTTTATTTCTTATAGAAAATAATCCAAATAAACACGCTTTGTAAAATATTCGTTACAAGACATTTAAGCTTTTTGTAGGTGTGTTTAACATATAATACTTCAATATTTTTACCTATGTTGAATACCTTAACTAATATACGATTATCTCAATCTTTTAGGCAAATGGCGCTGCTGCTGTTGGCAAATTTGAAGGAAATATGGGAACTACTTTGGGAGACAAATCATTGTTCGTTGCTAATCATGCTTATTAAACCACTACATCATCCAAATGTCATCTAATTTGAAGCCCCTCGATATTTAGCACAACTAGTCGACGTCATAACTAACTGACTAACATTTTTAATATGATTTAAGATTAAACCAACTTTCAGATCAATTCTGTTTTATTTTTATTTTTGTTCTTAAATACCGCCATACATTACTTTTCTTAAAAACAACAATATTTACTGTTGTACTTCATAGTATTAGTTGGTTAATGAGGTCATAATAACCAAGTAAATATACATTCTCCCTAAAAATGACTTTTTCAGTTATCGAGTGTCTGTAGGATTTACTTGGATACAGGAAGTCTGACTGAGACAATTCAAAAAGAATATGGGTTAATTTATGTGATCTAAAATTCATGTTTTATTGGGTCAATGTCATGTTCCATTTGGGACTAGTTAGCTTGATTTATCTACTTCCCAGTACTGATGTTCATACAAAGACTCAAACCTCATACCTTTTAATTCAAACGTCAACATGTTATCCGACGAATTAGTGAGTTCATTTAACCAATAGCTTAGAACCGCAAACCCTTAATAATGCTTAAATACTATTTCTAGCATAACCATATTCAATATTAATGTAGTTCTCACAGATTGTTTAAATGATCCCAGTTGTGTAGAACGTGATCTATCTTCAGTGTTGTGTATATATTTTGAAGAATAAGTGAAATAATGACACTAAAGCATTGATAATCCTGTGGATAATTTATTTTTTCATTTAGTAAGTCTGTGGTTCATTATCTAGTTTAAGTTAGATATCTCTTGAGGATTTTTCTGATTTAGCACCTCATTACTCATGAAAATGTACCATTATTGTTCCTTAACAAACTATCCGACAATTGATCAATCATCAGCAGTGTACAATTTGGAACATATGCGCATCGATTAATGTTACTACACTATATCAGCATAGTAGAGGCAGAACACAAGATTAGGCATGGACAGCATGGCACCAGAAGAAAGGATAGGTTCAGAAAATACAAAGTATAAGATAGTGCCAAAAAATGTGGTAGAAGGGAAGGGAAAGTGTGAAAGCATCTGCGCTATTGAGTTCGATTAATAACTGAGTTACCCGACGTCTTCAAACATAGGTTGTGGTTATTGTGCTAACCAGAACTTGATATTAAGTACCTGTTAACTCAGCTTACTCTAGCAGTCAATGAATTCATGAACCGATACTTCGTTTGACCACTCAGCTTTCTTTTAACCTGCGATCAGTCAGAATATGTAAGATCAAATAAATAACTCAACTAACTTACTGAAGACATTTAAACATTGATTAGTTTTAGTATTTGTTGTGAACACCAGAAGAGTTAGTCCATAAATCACTAATATTCAGGAAGATGTTTCAAACATTTTGCGTGGATTTTACTCTAAATTATTCAGTTGTAAAGCCGACAGTACGCCAAATATGATACATTAAACTCTGAAAACATTGCTGATAACTCCACGCAAAACTATCCAATGGATCACTTGATGTATATCTGGTGTATAACACAAACAAGTTACAATTTTCACTTGGTTGAGTTTAGCAAGAGATAAACTTCTTATTGACCGAAGTGATTGGTATAAAATTATGAGATACGTGTCGTAATTGAACAGCTAGAAACGTTCAAAACATTCTGTTTTTTAATCTGTATGCGTATATATATATATATATATATATATATATATATATATATATATATATATATATATATATATATATATATATATATATATATATATATATATATATATATATATAAGAAAAGGTTAGCTAGATGACTTTTATGCTTCCTTAATATTTTACTGCAGATTGATTTTTAATTGACGAATTAGTTACAATGCGACCGCTCAGAGTAGCTGATCCATTATAATCCGGAAATACCAAACAATGCTCCTTTATATCTTATGTCCCTTCACGTGTACCGCAAACCAGGTATTAGTGAGTCCCTAAATACAAATATAGTACTCTGGATTTCTAAATGTTGGTTTGTAGAACAAACTGAAATCTAACAAAGCGGTTTCGGTTCTCAGTTAGAGGTTAAGACGCATCTTTTTTGTCAGAAAAGTGGTAGTTGTCTTCAGATTAAAAAATATATATAAAAGTACCGTTTTGCATAATATTAAAATCTAAGCATTATATACAAATCCTTCTGAAACGTGTAAAAGGAAAACAGTTTAACAGAAATCTAATATGTCGCAATTTATTTCTCAAAACGCATTCGTCATCCAATCACGAATTGAATTGACCATTTACTTTAGGTATTGATAATTGTACTGATTGTGTCCATATTAGTTTTAATGTGCAGTACTAGCTAAAAGGGTTAAGTTAAACATCGTAGTCATATCATAGCACAGTTTGATATGATCAGACACTTCTCTACACATTTAAATGTCCTGCTTGAAAGTTTTGAGTTTTATTTTTATCTATATTAAATATAAATTGCTCTACCTCAACCATTGTCGTCTTCATTTGTTTGTCTTTGAATTAAGTCAATTGAAAATCAGTACTCCCAGATTATGTCATGTCGAGAATACCTTCACCATGCATGCATGAGCACATAATACTTAGTACCATATTATCAAAATAATAATTAATAATTCAAACTTGTATCTGTTAGTGATTAAAAAAAAACTACAGTAACTTTAGAAAACTCAAGAATTATGAGTAGTAATTGTTTTTTTAAGTCGTCCCATTTTCAATGGTAGATAACATATAAAGTACAATTTATCACATTTATATTACATGTATTAGTTACCTAGTACAGTTAATGTAAACATCACCAGTATCACTTTACCATTATGAGGTCACTTATAAATGTACTTTAGTTAACAATATTTTATAGAAACTTATCTAAATAACCACAATTTAAAAGAGAAAATATTAAAATAAACAAAATTCACGTTACACTTTTATGGTTTAATTTAGCGTATTGCTAGGCAATACTAAACAAGGTGACTCAATCATTTGTTAACCAAGTACACATTCATTCATTCTACTAAGAAATAACTGTTTATATTATGATATATGAATTAACTGTCAAACAGTAACTGATATTTTGTTACTTAAACTTCAATGTTTATAAAAGTGTATCCATAAAATTGGTAGTCTAAATAAATGAAGATTAAGATTAACGAAGACGACAATGTAACATCAGTTACTAATGACTAATAGGCCAGTGTGTAAACATATCAGTTCTACAAAAGATCATTACTAACTAAAATGTCTAGTTTGTAAAACCAATTAACTATTCTGTAATTTATGATGTGAGTTCGAATTCATTGGAAGTAACCAGTTCTTTCAATTATGAATAAACGACTAGATGATAAGTTTTAAGGTAAATATAAAATCAGAGCTTTCTAAGACCTGCTAATGTCCAACTTACATTATACTAGGTCAAGTATATAATAAATCAATTGCCGATAATTCAGTAGCTTGAATAATATACGAATCTGTAACATATTTGATGAATATCTAATAATTATATACAATAGACAGTTATCGAATAGAAAAAACCGGATCAATAAAGTAAGTTAGTTTATGGATTATGAAATGGATGATTTCTGGCACAAATACTTAATATTACATGAACAATACACTGAATAATAATATATGAAAAGGGGGTTTTTTGTGGAGATTTAGTAATTTTTTAGTTAAGATCATGAGTCAATTGAAGCTAGACCAGTGCTTCCAGGTTTTCCACGGTGGTCTAGCTTCAATTGACTCATGATCTTAACTATAATAATATATGAATTGACTATTAAAGTTTATGCATTACCCAATGTGAGACAGTCTTAGTTAAGTTAAAAAAGGTAAGATGATTTATAAAACTAAAGACAATGATAACTGTAGTTCAACATTTAATTTATATTACAGTTAGATAACTAAAAAAAACAATGAAATTCTTTTTTCTAAGAAATAACTTTATGCTTAATGAAGTATTTTTAAGTAGAAGAATGTCAATGATAATATTATTAGTAATTTTATACAGTTGAAATCATGAGTCAATTAAAGCTAAACCACCATGGACAACCTGAAAGTAATGGATGGCCGTTTCGTACTGCCCATAGTTGGGCGAAACGGCCGTTCAGTGATACCAGGTTTTCCTTGGTGGTCTAGCTTCATTTGACTCAGGATTTTAACTATATAAAATTACTAAAATCTCCACAAAACCTCCTTCTGATAATATGATTAAAAGAAAACCTAATTGAATGTTTTACTCATTTCTATCGTTAGTGATATTTCATATGTTAACTCCTTAGTCTTTTTCTGATTATACAGACATTCAAGTCATTTAATACAAGTAATAATATATTTCTATTGTTATATAAACGAAAGATAATAAGATACAGATATATGAAAGAGGAATATTATTTTGAATATACTCTCTTCAGCTTTTACAGTCATGTATCTTAATCAATGATTTAAAGAATAGCCAATGAGATTAGATACAGGAGTTTTAGATCCAGCTACGAAGAGTAGCACTGTCAGTAATAACCATTCAGTGACTGTTGTAATAGTCTCAGTGGATTATTAACGAGAACTCGTATCAGCAAATTTTTGAAGATCTCGAGTGTTAAGGTTCATTTTACTAATATTTGTAGTTATTCTACACTTACTTGACGTTTATTAACACTATAACAAAAAAATAATCAAAACACAATGTGGCTATAACTAAAATTTTTAATTACTGGGTATCCAGTTACAAGATTATTTGGTAAATAATAAAAATAAAACATTTAATGTCTCCCACGATTGAGTGAACATAAAAAGATAGAATAAGTGAATAACGAAACATATTGAATTCGGTTTCAGTAACATACATACATTGCTATTTCTAAATCCCATTTATAGCATAATGTGCCTAATCACTAGACATTTTCCACTAGTTAGTGAAATTTACTTTCATTTACATAGCAGTCAAGCAGTTCACATTCAGACTTTTGTTATAACTTGTGGCCGAGTGGTTGACTAGTTAATGTATGACATGAAAGACCGCCAATCAGAGAGCAGCGAAATATCGATCGGACCAGGGACACACAAAACCCGTACGAGCAGTCTAGAGTACTCATCGGTCCTGCTTTCTGCCTAGCCCAGCCAGTTAAGTCCAGAACAGCCTCCGCAGTATGAATCATTATATTTCAAACATACTGAGTTTAAATACCAAACAGACTGACCACATCGTACTATAAAATAGAAAATAACATGTGTACAAGATTTAACCAAATGTGACTGTGAATGTAGGAGGCAGTAATTAATAGACTAGGGATAACTGAAGAATGGTAAATCGTATAATAATAGTCTATAAGTCAAAATAAAGCTTATGATAAGGGGAACATGAATAAGAATAGTTTACTTATTTAGCAATTATACGATAAAAAATATGTGTACAGTATTGGTTTATAAATAGATCGCAAAGTTACCATTCATTATCCTCATCGGGGCATAAAAACTTTAAATAACTAGAACTCAATATTTTAGTAAGCATTTTTAAGTAGGTAACAGTTTAATAATTCATTGGAAACAAACAAAATTACAAAACTTATATTGAATGATTTAGTTTTTTTGGCCAAAATACATTAAGTTATGAACTGGTATTCACAGTGTACTATAGACATTTACCTGTGTAACTTAATTTAAAATAATTATATTTTATAGTAATTTAGAAATACTTGAAGACTGATGAAATACATTTAGCTATAATTCACTTTTATCTTTGAAGGAAGTTGGAACTATTGAATAACCGATAGGATTTACTTCACGACACCTCTGAAGAAGAATACTTTGAAATTATTTCAGAAGGGCTTCGGCTGGAGACTGGTAGGTCCTGGGTTCGAATCTCGCGAGAGCGGGTTCGTGGATGCGCACTGCTGAGGAGTCCCATAATAGGACGAAACGGCCGTCCAGTGTTTCCAATTTTTCCATGGTGGTCTAGCTTCAATTGACTTATGCTTTCTATTATGAAAAATACTAAATCTCCACAAAACCTCTTCTGATAATTAATATTTCAGAATTAGTGAAATGGTCTTATTTCTAAAAATTCCCTATTAGACTTCTTACGCAGTTACAGTATAACTAGAGATAATTTGAAATTGAAGTTAATTCGTGTAAAAGTTGTCAAATATATTCTAGTTTTCACTTATTTTGTGAGTCATTTGTGAAGAAATTTGTACAATGCACTTCTACCTAAAGTTTGTGCTGATAAGGTCGTTCAGAAAAACAATGAGAGCTCAACAACCAAACCATCTAGCTCAGAGAACAAAACTCTATCAAAATCATCTATCTGACCTACAAACCTTCTCTACCATCTTGTAATTATGAAACCCCTGATCGAGTTCATCTTTAAATATTTAGAAAAATCATAATTGTCATCAATTTATTAAGATATTGTATGCTTCAATATAATCATAAGAAGTGAAATATGTAGCTTCAGTTTATATTTAAAGAATAATAATTGAAGGTCTTATAAAAAAACTGGGAAGTAACAGAGGATCAATATGATTTGTTCAAATTTTTGTTTAAATGATCATATATTGTTAAATTTATCATTAGTAAAGTGTATGGTAATATTCATTAAATGTTCCGATACCAGTAAGTTTGATTATTTTTACTTCTTCACCCAGAATTCCTTCAAACTTCCATGTAGCTTCGTATTGAATAGATTTTCTGGTTTTAGAAAAATACAAAAAAAGTACGTTAGAACGTTAAGTGGTATTCAATAGTCAATATCTTGAAGATTTTTTATTTGATTACCCAATATTATCAACTAATATCACGTGATTATCTTCTATTACCTTAAGTGGATAATTGTCGGACATTTAGTATAGCTGAACTTCACTAGTCACGATTTCTTAATTAAACTCATAGAATTGCTTTCCAAAGTTAGTCAGTAATGAGATCACGATTATTATTAACACAGGCGGTTTGACGAAATCGTGGAATTTTAATAGTTTCCATCACGGTTTGATCCCAGATCAGGTTGTTAATGTACATGGTTGAGGAGTAATACACCAGGATGAAAGAGATGTCCAGTGCTTCCTGATGTTAAACGTGGTCATACTAAGATAATTTCGTGATTCAAGCAACCTCCATAAGATCTTATTATTATTATTTGTATTTGTTGTTTCTTAAATTTTTCTAGTATGTTTTTGAGCATTATGATATTTTCAACTAATAATGTTTATGTTTCACCACTTTGTTTCAAATGATTGTAGTCAATGAGATTGAAAATTTGATTCGTTTGGAGAATGAATACTTAACTTTCGATTTTCCGGCAGTAACATGTTAGGTACATCTATGCCCACTTTGATTTGAACGACTATATTGCATCATCATAAGGTTTAAGGCATAAAAATATGACATAAACGTCTTCAGTTCTGAAATATTTAGTGCTGATAACTTTCATTCATTTTCTGATAATTTACCATTATATATTCTCCTTATTTCTGGTGTTATATTGTCCATGACATTCTTTTTTCTGTTTTCATAGATACAATAACTACTGTTACTATACTCTAGCATTTGATTCAATAATTTTATCTACTTACACTTAACAGTATGTATCAACTTGAACCAATGCATATAGGTGCCAGTTTCTGCGTTGAATATAACTGACTGACTGATCAGACCTTTTGAGTTTAGAGTTTTAGAATCGAGTTATTCAAATATTAAATATTTATTCACTGATAAGATTATTAAAATTTATACAGATTACCTTGGTTTAAATTCTACAGTAATCAAATCAGAATAACAATCTTCATTATATGAAAATGAATTCAAATAGCCTGATATTTTATTTGCATGGAATACATTGTCTTCATTATTTTCACTTATTTCCTCTTCATTATCTAAAGAGATTATTTGAATTGAAGGCAAATTCAAAAAAATAATAAAGGTATGAAGATTTATATGTATATACACAACAACTTGACACAGTTGCCAGTTATTTGTAGCTACAGTATTGGAGCTACAGTTCTTTTAACTAATAAAAATGCTGTTAGTTGGTTGTTCAGTCTTAGAATGATACATCAATTTGATTGAAGTTGTTCTACGCACATACATCTTAATAATGAAGTCATTAAGCGTGAATTAGTAAAACCAAGATTGCCAGTATAAGACTGTGGAAATTGTTTGGTTTTGACTCAGATCATTGATCGGTCAATGTTAGGTCGAAGGTCCTGGGTTCGAACCCCGTGTGCAGGATCGTGGATGTGTACCGCCTGAGAGTTCCACACTAGGATGAAACAGCCCTTCGGTACTTCGAGGAATTCGATGGTTGTCTAACATTGATCGAATCATGATCTCAATCAAAACCAAAATACTTCGGATTATTTTTATCAAATAAATTATATCAACAAATTGGTTGGCTAAATAAAAAATGACTAAAAAGATTAATTATTAGTACCTAGTCAGAAATTAAGACAATATGTTATGAAAATTGTTATTCAGTGTAAACTTTCTGGATCATCTTTAAACCAAACAAAATCGTACGAAAACTCTATATGCCAATCTCCTCTAAATTTCACACAAATTTTGAATTTTAAACAATATGGATACTGATTGAGTATTTTCCATCTGATTATTGTTTATTGTATAAATATTGAATACATTTTTATTGATTATAAAGATAATTGGTGTCAGATCGCAAAACAACAGAAATCACTTTAATACAATTAGAGATTTAATGAAATTAGGTTATTTTATAGGTTGAAATCAATTTGTCTCGTGACTTATTTTTTATTATTCAAAATTATTTTCTCCAATTTTAGTCAATAATAATGTAATGGAAAAACATGAGATGAGATAATAACAATTTTATGACTATAGAGAAGCATATAACCTTTTCAGTCATTCATGTACCCCCTATTCTGTACTTTTGAAAAGAGAAAATCGACAGAAAACTAACAAGACAAAATGTGAAATCATTCAAATATTATGTTCGGTCGAGGAATATTATACGAAAAGTTGGGATGATTCAAAGTTTAGAAAGAACTGGCAAACAAGTATATCTAAGTAAATAAAATCGATTTTTAATCACCGTTAACTAACGTTGATAATCATTATATGCTTACAAAAACAACAAGCTATAGAACAATATGGTCCACCAGGGTGTTTGGTACCTGAGTGGTTAAGCCACAGGATTGGGCTGTACTTTTCGGATTGTAGCGTTGAAGCCTTTATAGTGTCTGGTTCTCCTATAGGGTGGGATTGAGCTGTACTGCTTGGGTTAAGCCTAGGCAGTGTCTGGCTCTCCTGTTAAACGGGATTGAGCTGTACTGTTTGGGTTACCGCGTGAAAGTCTGGATGATGTCTGGTTCTCCTGAAAACCAGTGCAAGATTACCCTGTCCCATAAGAGTATATTATATAACTGTGAAACTAACTGTGATAGAACAATAGTTACTGATATCATTACGTAATTTAACGCTTTTGACTGTTCTCTGATATTCTCTTCTTATCTACGTTCTATAATAATTAGCATAATATGTTTATATTATATACTTTTCAACAACTTTCATAGATCAGTGTTTACACTATCAATTGATCTTTTTATAATAACCTAATACTATATTCAACACTTTCTACTTGTTGGTTTCACTGTAAACAAGCAATTTACCGGATACATCACATAACTATCGGTATCATCTGTGAAACCAAACAAATTAACTATATAGTATATCTTTCTTTATTATTGTTGAACAAACAAATATCTTATAATAGACTACTATTGTATCATATCAATAATGATGTATTTTTACAAAATTGCGGTAATTTGATATAGTAGAAGCACACAATAGTTATTCAATCAATTTTATCTTATAATGAAGAAAAAAGGATATGATCTCACAAGAATTCTAGATCAAACAAAAACAAAAAAAACATAAGTCAATCTATCAGTTTGACAGTATTGGAACACGAATTTTTGTTTTCATTAATTCATTGATTTATTTAACTATTTTTTATATTATCACTACATTAATTAAATTATTATTATTATTGTGATCATGAGTCAACTGAAGCTAAACCACTATGGAAAACCTGGAAGCATTGGACGGCCGTTTCGTCTTATTGTGGGACTCTTCAGCAGTGCGCATCCACGATATATATATAGTTATTGATTGTTGTAATAAATATTTGATCTAGAGTTTAGATTGTAAAAATCTTTAATAAAAGTTAATCTCTAGAAATTTGTTTAACGAAATGAAACGTTTTTTTACAGCATTATATACTACCTATAATAAACAAGTGAATAAGGAAGACTAAGGAATAAGAGTAACTATAGTAGGCAGAACCTTTGCTCTTTATTAGTATACAACTGTAGAAGATAATCTATCATACTTGAAGAATGACGTAGTCTTCAGGAGGTTAATCACGGGTATCTTTGAAGTATTGTTCACTTATCAAGGAACAAGTAAAATGAGCAGTCCTGATGGTGGTTATTAAGTATAAGATAATCCGGAAGATGAAGATGTAAATCTTCATTAACTGAGGTAGTGTTTATTGTACCTAATCATCGCTTGCCTCAACATGTATTGCTGGCTGAAGTAACAGTAACTTCGAGTAAAGCTTTGATTAGGAAGACTAAGAAGTGATGTCAATCATCTACTGGCTTAGGGGGAGAGCAAGAGTGACAATTGGTAGTTGATAACTTTTAGTGACATGACTAAGAATTGATCATAAAAGCCTAGACACGTTCGCTCTTTATATTCTTTCAAGTTCTGAGTTTCAGTATACCTTCAAAAATACCTTTCCATTTATTCTCCTTGAAAATTATTGTTTATGATTTAGGTATTTCTCACCATAATTATTATTTCGACTACTTTGCTATAAATCTCATACACTTCATCTCGTCGTGCTATTGTGGTACGTCTAACACAAGTTTGCTCAAACACTATAATAATTTTAGCTAACACTGACATTCAAACACTCGATTCCAAAGAAGCAACCATTATGTTTCTTTTGATATAGTGGTCAAGATCTAGTTCTAATAGTCAAGTCATAATTAAATGGAGAGTGAATAATCTACAAGATAATTTCCTCTAACTCTCCATGACAATCGACCGTGTTTACTTCTTGCTAATAGATAGCAAATGTAAATGTTATTTTATTCTAAAAATGACCTATTTTTCTGGTCAGGTGATCTTGTTTCTAACTTCTACTGACTCTTGAGGGACAGAATTCGTAAATAATTTGTTCTTGTGTATGATCGTCAATCGATTAAGTCATATCATCACTCATCGACTGTAGACAAAAATTCATTTCTTTCCTTTTAACAATCAAATACTCATTTATCCAACCATAAAACTTTATAGCAGCTCATATACAACTGAGTTTGTTCACATCTAATTTGATTAAGCCCTTTTGTTACCTTATTTAACGGACAGAGTCATTCGTACAATAACAATCTATCTATACTATTGTACCTTTATTACGTACGCTTGATCATTGCTTACTGCTTACTCATATATTCATTCTGCTAGCCCTACTATTAATCGCCTAATTGATTCGACGATTTATTCATTTCACTATGTATATATATGTACATTTTAATCCTGTTCACTGACTTGCTAACTTGTTGACTCGCACATTCGCTTATTGACTCAATCACTTGCCTGATTTACGGCAGTACTCTTTCATGCTTGCTCAACGTGCCTGTAATTTGGAATATCTATTCGTGATTCAATAATAAACGTAATGAACACTTCGTATTCGCATTGTGATTTATACACTGTTGGAGCGTTATCGAGTGACGGTTATCAGGATGAACAAATTACGAAGTTTAAGGAGAATATCGAGTATTGACCACCACTTCCTTATTCCATAAAATCATTATAAAACATTGTTAAAATAAATTCACTTGGTATTGGTTGTTCGAATCTTCCCATGGATGTGTTAGGACTGCAACAGGTCAGTCTCTAATTGGCATATGTGCATACTGTGCGTATTGCCTCGACATAGTCTTGATTCACAAGCATGATAAGCAAAGATGGATAGTGGCTAGTAGTGGAATCCAGGACGCGCGTCTTATCCTATTTGGGACTCGTCAGCTGGATGTACCTGCATCTCAGAGTTGATGTTCACTCTGGGACTCGAACCCAGATCAAACAAACAATACCAAGTGAATTTAAACTTCGCCCATCGCACAAGCAAGTCGCTATCAGGACTCAGTAGCTGAATGGATAAGGCGATGGCGTTTGGAGCGAAAGATACTGGATTTCAGTCTCGGAGTGAACATCAACTCTGAGATGCAGGTACATCCATCCAGCAGACGAGTCCCAAATAGGACGAAACGCGCATCAAACTGGATTCCACTGCTAGCCACTATCCATCTCTGCTAACCATGATTGTTAAAATAGTTCAGATGGAATACTAAAGAGTTTTAATTGTCCTAATCCACTTTTATAAACTATTCAACATTAAAATTAACTTTGTTTTGTTTTCCCTATTATATAGTGTTCCATTTTACATAATATTAACCAATAATAAAATCACATAAATATTTACATAGTAGTCTATATTTAGAACTGACGTAATCATCATTTATATGTTTAGTAATTAACTCTATAGGATTCTATGAATTTCATGAGAGGGAGAGAATATATGAAAGTATAACTTAAATGAATTCATCTTAAAAACAATGTTTAATAAATCCATTTGGTATTGTTTGTTTGAATCTTCCCATGGATGTTTAGAACTACAATTGATCAGTTTTTTATTGATATATGTGCATACCGTGCGAATCGTTTCGATATTGCCTTAAGTCACAAGCGTTCTGAACGAAGATGGTTAGTGGCTAGCAGTGGAATCCAGTTTGACGCGCGTTTCGTCCTATTTGGGACTCGTCTGCTGGATGGATGTACCTGCATCTCAGAGTTGATGTTCACTCCGAGACTGAAATCCAGTATCTTTCGCTCCAAACGCCATCGCCTTATCTATTCAGCTACTGAGTCTTGATAGCCACTTGCTTGTGCGATGGGGTGAAGTTTAAGTTCACTTAATATTGTTTATTTGAATCTTCCCATTGATGTTTAGAACTACAATTGATCAATCTGTTATGTTTCATATTTAATAAAATTTAACCTTATTTTCATATTGTTCACACTCTTAATGGCTGATAGGAATAACCTTGAACAGTTTATTAATAAATAGCCAATATCTTGTCAAGGTTAAACATTTATAGTTGCTAGTAGGTGGAATATAAGTAATCTATAAATTTTTCAACTTTTTCAATTAAAAAAAAATCAAAATTTATTAGAACCTTAGTTACCGCATCTTTTTAAAATTTTTTTTTCAAAAATTGTCCTATCAAAAAATGTTAAACTTACAATTTATTTCCGAGTACTTTAATAACCAAAATGTTGGAGTTTTTGTTAAATTTTGAATTTTAATTTCTAATTTTTTAGATTGTCCAATTAATACCGTATCAAAATTTAATATATCAATAGGATATATTAGAAATTTTGGTTTTATTATTGTAATTTGTATATTTAATTGAAAAATATCATTTTTATTATTAATTATTAAATCATCTTTTTTATTAAAATAATTAAATTTAAATAAAATTTCATTTTTTAAAATTAAATCAGATTCATTTATCTAAATAAAAAGAATAAAAAAGAAAATAAAACATTGAAATAAGAATTTAAATTTTGAAAAAAAAATTAATTTAATAAACATTTAAAAATTGAACATTGAAAATCAATTTTCTTTTTTATTGATTAAAACAAATTATTGATTTTTAAAAGAGGGTGGGGGTTTGTGGAGATTTTAATAGTTTTTTATATATTTGAAGTTAGATCATTACAGAAAACTTGGAAACTTATCCACGAATTAGAAAAATTAAATATTAAGATAATGTTTTTTAATCATGGACTTATATTTACAAGAGGACCAACCTTATGAATATGTACATTTAATTCTCTAGCCTTTCTATAATATCCATCTTTAATTTCAATCATGATTAGTTCCAAGACTAAAATGCTTTGGTTATATGCTTACGTAATTTTGTAGTGAAAATCCCCTTGAAATTATAAGTGAATGAGTGGTCGAACTATAAGCCATTATCATTTCTTCACTTTCATATTATATATATATATATATTTGCTGTACATAAATAAATATAACTAGAGTATATATAAAATACCATTCATGATGATTAAGCATTTTGCTCTAAACGCATTAAGAGTAGCTGCTTTAGTAAATATTATATACAATGAAGAGAATCATCTCCTGCGACGGACAAACTGTTTGAATCTTCAACATTTGAATTTTTAGTTCGCTTGGACATTGAACAAGCAATGCACTCTTTCATATGTGAATCAAAACAATGGATAATTAATAATCAATTTCAGCATAAATTCAATAGTTTATCCTGAAACAAACTTGGAAGGAGCTTTATAATATAAACGATAGTTAAAGTAATCTTATTAACATTACTTTCAAATATCTTGACATTGATGATATTTGAAAAAAACACAAATAATCGATAACATGTAAAATTATCCTAAAATTAAATATGTTCATTAAGTTGAAGTACTTTAGATTATCGTGAGAAAAGGAGTAAAAATGAGATGAAATCGGTTCAACTGAATTTCTACTAAAATACGTCAAGACAGTTAGCTCTGTTATACAGAGCTAAAACTTTGAGAACTACCACTACAACCATCATCAAAAAGGCAAACATATTTATAAACCATTGTCTACTCAAGATACTCAATGTTTGTTGGTCGGTTACCATCAGCAACAGACCACTGTGGGAGAGGATCAAGCAACTTCTAGTTGAAGAAGAAATTAGCAAATGACGATGGAAGTGGATAGGACATACATTACAGAAATTATCAAACTGCATCACAAGGATCCTGAAGGGAGACGGTAAAGAATGCCGAAGAACGCACTATTTCGGGACTGGAAAGCAGATATGAAATGTATGAACAGTAACTGGAAAGGATTATCCAGGACAGAGTTGGATGGAGAATGCTGGTTGGCGACTTATGCTTCTCTATGAGGGCTAAGAGGCGTAAGGAAATGAGTAAATGTCAGTAGGAGATTGTTCTCTGATTAGATTGAGTAATATTCTTGCTACAAACATCTGAATAACTTATTTCATCCCCTGGTTGGATGGGCACTGATGATGAGTATCAAACTAAACTGAAACATCTATTTACTGCTCTCTTTATTTTTCAATTTCACCAGGTGATAATTAGTCACCATAGAGTGCGTTTTATGAAACTTGAATGATCTTCATAAATCATCACCTTAGCAAACATTTGAGTTCAAAGCACAATAAATGTGTGTGAGTAATATTTAAGAATTGGATTCAACTAAGTAAAACATTATCTTTTCGAAAATCTGTAGATTCTCGTTTGAGGCATTCCTGATAAGTTATCTAGTCTAATTTGTGCATTTAATTTTTTAATTGATAACAAAAACGAAAATAACACGATTTCATTGTTAAGGTGACTTTGAATATCGTCAGAAAAAGAATAATTCAGAAGCAATAGGTGCTAATCAATCTTAGCGGTTTCTAAAGTTTGATAACTGCACACAGCATTTACAATCACTAACTGAATAGTTTAATAATAATATCTATTATCCTGAAACCCTAATAGCATAAATTCAGAACTTCCAAAAACATAAGTTCTCACGCAGTTGTAGATAAAACTTCCATACGACAGCCAACTGACATGAAACATAGGCTGAAGATTTCTTTTCAAAAAATCTTAAATCAGAGATGTTTATCATCTTAATCCGGTGAATTAGACGTAATGAATACTAAGCAACATGATACTAAATACAATTGGGTGATACATCAGTGTTTTTGAAAATAATTCCTAGGCTATACATAATTAAATCGTTGAAATCATAAGTGACTTGGCTTAACATCTATAATCGACGTATTAGTAGTAGTGTGATAAACAAGAACACACAAGTGGGGACGACCAAATGTATTTGAATACATAATTACAGAATATCTTATTCAAATATGAGAACCATACAGTAAACAATTCATTGGAAAATGTCAATTAACTGTTTCAGGCTTGATTGTTCCTTTGTCCCCATACTAATCACTCTCTTTTCTCGTTCTCTTCTGCTTCCAGGCTATTTCACTTCTAATTGGTGATATACACAACTTATATCGGTCGACATCAGTAGCATGCACCACAGTAGTATCAATGAAACAATTATCTTATTATCGCTGATTAATACTTTTTTTGGTAAAACATAAACCCTTTCTTGTCGTAATCCGACTTCTTTCATACCGATTCTGGTTTTACGAAATGTTTTTTTCTTTTTTTTTACTTATAATATATATTTAGGTAATCTGACGAACTATTAACGTGGTCCCTAGTTTGATGTTATTTAATTTTTCCAAGCAGATATGAAAAGGATGAATAACAATTAGAAAGAATTACCCAGGACAGGGTTGGATGGAGAATGCTGGTGTGCGGCCTATGCTACTCCATGAGGGGCAACGGGCGTAAGTAAGTAAGCAATACGAAAATGTTCATGCATATATTAGAATAAATGTTTACCATTTACATAAATAGTAATTACCTGTAAGTTGCTTGCCGAATCTGTCAAATTATTTGATGTGATATAATGAAGACATAAATCTTTTTCTAAGAGATAACCAACTATTATCTATAAATAGATTAAGAAAAAACAGATAACGGATATTGAAAAATTCACAAAAACAAGTACCTTTAGTAATAATATTTCTTCACATATCATGAATACTACTTGCTGAAGTTATAAATAAACAGAAGTTTAGGGAATGGCTGATGTGAACTCTACTCAACATTCTCTAGATAAAAGAACATCTTACTGATACCTTAAAAGACGAACGCTGACAAAAGTCAAACAGCTGGTTGATTTTACCACTGCTTAGCATTAGGCATCCATGCTGAATAGTATGATTCAACTCATTGATCTAAAGATATGCGTCCTATCATGAGGCTTGACGGTCTTAGACGAAACTGACTGTGAGTTTTCGTAGATTAAGAATATTGATCAGTTTTTAAAAGTAACACTATCTATTTTTAGTTCTTTGATTCTCAACTTATTTTGGTTGGTTTTAATTTTTCGATGAAAATTACCACTGATGTTTCAAGTAACGTTTAAATTTACATTGCACAACAAGTTTATTAACGAACAAAAAGTTTTACAGTATGCAAACATGGAACTTATCATGAATAGTAAATGATAAAAGAGAACAGAATGCAACCATGATTTGAATAAATTAACTATGGATAAGATATACGAGTAATGTGGTTAAAATAAAATCAGAACTCTCTGTTCAGTTAGATTATTTTAAACTCTTTACTACCTTACGTTCAATTAAGACCTCTAAATGTGATCGGTCATCTAATCGGATCAATATTGTCGATCATATTTAGATACTGTACGGTTAGGGTAGTTTCTCAACAGTCACAAGCACAATATCCATTCATCTATTTAAAGTAGAAATTTATATTCAGAAATGTTGCGAGTGTACAACTATTAAGCATTTATTGGACACTGGTTATCATCATTATTATGTAATGCTTATAAAACCGATCAAAATAATCAAGACGAATGATAATATTCAATCAAGATTTTGTTTGATTCAATTACTGAATAACAACTACACAATAAATTTTACAATCTTAATCATGAAACATGTAAAATATATAACTATGTAACTAATACATCATAAATGTTTACTAATCAATACTCCTTTTCAAGTATCATTGACCATGTTTACATTTGTAAAGGAATATCTAGCTAACTAATTACGAAAAAAGACAAACTACTTACTGTAAATTATACATTTCAATAATCATTTAAATATATACGTAAAACTCGAATAAAGAATGATATAGAGATATCATTTAAACAATAAATCATGAATTTTCACAGTTGAAATCATCAGTTAGTTGAAGCTAGACCACCATGGAAAACCTGGAAGCATTGGACGGCCGTTTCGTCTCATTGTGGGACTCCTCAGCAGTGCGCACCTACGATCTTGCCTCGCGAGATTCGAAACCAGGACCTACCAGTATCGCGCCGGAGCACTTATTCGATAGCTTCAATTGACTTATGATTTCAACTATGAAAATACTGAAATCTCCACAAAACCCCTTTTGATTAAAATCATGAATTATTAAACATTAGGATTTTAACGCTTGAACAGAATTTAAACTTTAGTAATTAGAATCTTTATACATGAATGAATGAAATCGAATTTGAAGGTGTTTTTTAGTTTGATCACCTTTACTAAGAAATTACATTTGATAACTTCAAATAGTATACAAAATAGCCAGAATCACAAAAGTAATCTATCGACATTAATGTCAAACAACATAATTCAGTAATATGAATGATGATTAATAATTTATCAGTATAAAGATTCGCGAATTCACTAGTCAAGAGGCCAAAAGTCCTGGGTTCGAGTCCCACATGCAGAATCGTGAATAGGCACTGTTGAGAAGTCCCATACTAGGACAAAACGACCGTTCAGTGCTTTAAGGTTTTCAATAATGATCTAGCTTAGATCAACTCGTGGATTCAATTAACAATTTATCAAAGTCAATCAGTCAGTCACAACGTAGAACCTCGTACGTACGTACATCAGTTCGAGTTGTCATACCACATTAGCACAGAGGTGCAGTTTCTAATTCAAGTCCCATAGTGATAGAGGTTGTATGAGTGTAGGCATTAATCAGAAATATTAGGGTTTGATTATGTTATTCGTGGAGTATAATCCAGTGAAATAAATTTGAAAAGAGAAAAAACAAAGGGACATAAAGAATTCAGAAGATTAGAATTTGGTAGAACACAAAGAGTGGATGCACCCTAGCCACTGCAAACGATTTTGAGCTGTATCATTCAAGGTCTCTAACCATCGATTGCTATCATCTCGCGAATCCCAACCAGGTAGTCTACACCTACCAACATGGCCCAGTCCACTTGTCAGTGACTCCATTGATTTGTGCCACGTTTTGGTCTGACCACCCCTAGCTTTCTTTCAACCTACTCCTACACCATAAAACATCGCACGTCAAGGCATTCGGTGGTTGGGCATACGTAACACGTGTTTCAGCCATCTCAACTGATGAAGTTTCACTACTTCATCAATTGACTTGCCATTCTTATCTAGTATCTGTTTCCTAACAACTATATTACTTACCCGGTGGTCCCAGGATATACGAGCAATGCTACGAAGACACCTATGATCGAATACTAGTAGCCTACGAATATCCTCTACTCTCATGGACCACGTTTCACTGCCATAAAGTAGTAGGACGGAACGAACTGCTGTGCAGTAAACCCGTCCTTCGGTTGATAGACAGATATCTTGCCTACGCCATAAATGCTTCGAAATCCACATGATCAGTCATGTTATACGAATGAATACATTTAAATGATCATAGTAATTATCTTGAATTATTTTTCATATTACGTTAAAAATTCATCATTTCCATATGTACTTTTTCTAAATGTTTCAACTATATACACAATTGAAATACCCATGTGTTTAAATGTTTATATACAAAATTCAATTTACTTGAAAAAAATAAATTATTTGTCACATGGTTAAGATTTTGTCAATGAACAGATATAAGTACAAAAAGAATGTACTATTATGTATAACACTTTAAGTTTAAGTGTTTATTTTAGCTTTATGTAACTTGAAATATTACACTAATCGATATGGAAATTACAATGATTTTTATCTAAAGGTGGTTTTGTGGAGATTTTATTAATTCTATATAGTTGAGATCATGAGTCAATTGAAGCTAGACCACAATGAAAAACCTGGAAGCACTGGACGGCCGTTTCGTCTTATTATGTGACTCCTCAGCAGTGCGCATCCACGATTGAAGTTAGACATTAACACCGTCGGATGCCGGCTCAGTGGTCTATCGGTTGAGTGCTCTGGCGCGAGATTGATAGGTCCTGGGTTCGTAATGTTCATTTCGTAGTATTCCTTTTTATGATCTTTGTTATTCATTACCTTACATCCAATTCAGTGAATTTAATTATCTCAAGTCAGTAATTGTTATTTGAACTTACTTTTTGTAATTTACCTGGATTGAGAGTTAAGCTGATTTGTGGTTTATAAAGTTGCTTAAACGACATTTTCGTCATTGGCATCATCGCTGTCAAATTAGCATCTTCTTCAGAGTCTATAATGATACCATCATCTTCATAATCATCGTTGGTATCGTACGGTTTGTCTTCTCTAACATGAAATCCCAAATGCTTCGTTTGATTTGCTTTCATACAGATTGTAACTGGTATACTATTTGGGCATCTTAGGTGAATACTACGTAAGAGGACTATACTACTTATTAGTAAACAGTTGGTCCCATTCAGAACTGTTAGTGGAATTCTTTGCACTCGTTGACTGACTTGTTCCGAATGTTTGGATTGGAAGGAATAGTTTTTAGGTACACTAACTGTGTTTTCTTCTGTTTTCTTTTTGCGGGGATCAACAAGAAATTGTCCTAACCCTGATTTAAAATGTAAAATCCTTGGTCGTGGAGGATTAGGTGACGTGCTTACAATTTCCAGGGGATTATTGTTTAGATCAATAATGAGTCTGTTTTAAAATCAATATCATGTTTAATAAAAAACAAAAATAATATTTAATATATGACTAAGAGCTATTCATAAGCTTACAAAAGACGAAATGTTAAGCTGCTGCAGTTATTAACTCTGCACTCCTTGAATATCACGAAGGGGTCCTATATTTTATCCTTTAATTCACATGCACTTATTTCTTTAGTGTGTTTTAAAGTGTCCGAATAATATATATGGGACATAATGATAAGGCTAAAATCCAAGGGGCTATGTACATGTGTTTTGTCTTGGTGTAGGACTCCTAAGCAGTTTGTATCCATGACTCTACGGGTGATCGAATCCAGAGTTTTAAGGACTCATGTCGAATGCTTGACCTTTAGTACACCTGAAGTGGCGTGGGAACAAGTGTTCACTGCTGACTAGTTTTCAATAGTAAATTAACCGAGATCAATCGGTGATGAATATTACCTGCAAATTAAATTGATCTCCACAAAACTTCAGATAGATTAGGAATATCCCTGCTAATCATAAAATGATTTTGAGTATCGAATAAACACTAGCCATTTGATATTACGATTGGCCTAGCTTTGACATATAAGTGTTTAATTGATTTATTTCGCTGTCCTAGTCATTATTTTACAGAAAGAAATGTCTTATATCAACAACATGAACTTATCTTTAAACAATAAATCTTGAATGTTTTGTGCAAATCAACGTATATTTATCTGCGGTTTCCAAATAAATACTAGTTCGACACTGTACGTCATAATTAGATTCTGTTTTACTACTAATATGACGGGACTAAAGGAGCGAAATGAAGTCAGTTTGACATAGCAAATACGTGTTTTTATATTAAATTATTGATTGATCGACTTTAAATACTACTTAGTCAAACTATACAAATCTGATTGTAAATCTGACTGGAAAAAAAATCATATAAGAGGTAGTGCAAGTAGCCATCATTTGGATTCATTTTAGATCTTAAATAAATTCCAATCACAAGCATTTGTTTTTTTTACTACACATCTTCTGATTTGGAGTCTAAGTATGAAGTACTAGTCAGCTAAGCATTTTACAGACTTGACAGATAGACAGACGTATTAACTACACTATTAATATGCATACATTTTAATCGTGACAGATAAATATATATGAAGCAGATACAAATGCAAAGTAGTTATTAATTTCGAAAACTAATCCGCGTTCCTGTAAGAAACAATGAATAAAGAACCAATTATCTACAAACATTTTATATTTTCCAACGTTAAATATATGTCAGAAGGGGTTTTGTGGAGATTTTAGTAATTTATAGAGTTGAGATCATGAGTCAATTGAAGCTAGACCACCATGGAAAACCTGGAAGCACTGGACGGCCGTTTCGTCCTATTATGGGACTCCTCAGCAGTGCGCGTCCACGAACCCAGGACCTACCAGTTTCGAGCCGAAGCCCTTAACCGATAGACCACTGAGCTGGCACCTAAAGATATATATTTATAACACTAGACTATTTGACTCCGTTTTCTCTTACGTATAAGTCTGGGTATGTAGGTTACCATGAATGAAATTCTATGGAATTTTAACGATTGGAGTGAGAAAATTGTGCGCCAAATATACAAGGGTTATTATATTTGATCATTAGAATGACCTAGATTACTAGCTTAGTTCCTTTGTCGTTTATTTACCATATAATAAGCATTTTGAAGGTTTTATATTTAATCAGGTATAGATCACTGTCACTCAATGAAAACCTTACATATTTTATTGTGACGTCTGATGTCTATTTAGTATTTACATAGTCGTTACGTTTTATATTTATACTCTCTTAACAGGAATTTGTCGTGCAGTTATAATATTTATTGTGATTAACGGAAATTTAAATTGTAATGTTGAAATATGGGACTGAATTTCGACCAGATAGTTCACACAGGATCTACATATATCAGCAAAGACTGAAAAAAAAATCAATCTTAAACATCAACAACAGTATAATCCAAAACCTAAGTAATCATGACACAAATATTATATCCGTTGAACGATTAGCGGTTATCTGGACACATTAAATCAGTGGATAACAGGTTAGGCTTTCCAAGAGTAATGTTTTGAGTTGAAGTCCCACTATCAACATTAACTGCGATGCAGTCGCATCCAAATGATACGCTCAAAATAGGGTGAAAAAGCTCATTCTGGATTCCATTGTTTTTCAAATTTGTAACAAAGACATATGAGTTTCTTATCCATAGCGTTTTTTTTTAATTAAAGTTAGGAATGTGTATGTTACGTTTCATTTTACGCATTATGACATAACTTATTGTGTACCATTGTTTCGAATAAAAAACGTGATTAGGCTTTGTGAACAAATCATTTCACTTTCCACTACTCATTTCAAATACCGCTTATGAGAGTTAGTGTTAATACTTGACTGAAATAGAGTAGAACTTCGTCAAATTATCTTTGAATATGTTACTAATCCCCTCATTTATCAGGTGACTGTTATACGCAGTTGAATTACACTGTTCACGATTAGAGTGGAAAAAATGATGGAAACTTTCTTTAATCAGAACTATACATGATTAGGATAATTGAAATTCTGTCTATTTTACATACGTTCCGCTCAATCAAGAAGAAACAATGAGCATCCCATTGAGTAAAAACATTACAACAATTTCGAATGATCTCACAGATAAACACGAACTACTAATTATGGGGTACTGAAAACAGTGGTTGTTAAATGTCAGTAGTTATTATAATTGTTGAAGAAAACCTTGTGGAGTTTATTCTGCTAAGGGGTAATCATAACATTTTGAAATAGCGAAATAGACCGTTTAATACAACAACAAAAACAACACCTTATTCGTGTAAACAGTTTCTGAGTAGGAAAAAATTTACCTAGGTTGCTCCAATTTAGCAGTTATATCAAAACGTAATTGTTCTGTGATTAATGCATGTGTACGTGGAGTATCCAAGAAATATTTCGAGTCTATAGTTAAATAACCAACTACATGAGCTTTTAAATTGAAAATTTCATAACGTTTCATCTCTGAGTACGCTTCCATTGGATTCATTAAAATTGTAACTGTAGCTTCTTCGTGTGGTGGTATTATCAACTGTTCAGGCAACATAATGAACAATTTACTAAAATTATCATTATTTGATGAAATAATTTGAGCTGATGATGATTCCCATATTAATTTCCCATCATATGGCCGAAGTACTAAATTAATTAATTGACTTTTAGCAGAATCTCCTCCTGATGCTAAAGATATAATAGAAATGTATAAATGGAAGTTTAGGCTTCTAGTTATCAGAAGAACTATATGTGTATAAAAGACAAGTTTATTAAAACAATGGCCAAAAATGATGCTTCGTAACAAAGGTCAGGTTTAATTAGTTATTTATTGAGTATAACTGACTTTAGGTTCACTAATTTATAATAATATCTAATTGAGTTAAATCATTTGTCAATGATCGAGTATTTATCTTAAAAGAATACGTCTTTGAATGCTATCATGCATGACAGAATCGAATCCAGCAGGTAGCATCAGTTCCCTTAAGATTACTGGTGCACCTTTCTGGCGAGTTTCAAGTAGTAGGAAACCTGGGTTCAGATTTTCCTGTCGGTTACTTCTAATTACCACCTTGCATCTCAAAAATTGCACGTGATGTTGAGCCATTCAGACTAGTGCTCACGTTGCAACTTGATCGATAGAATCAGATAAGCATTAGAAGGACTTGACATGCGTGTTACTTTCTAGACTGTGTGATTTTGTCATGAAGCTCTCATTGTCTTTCTGGAGAATATCATCAAAACAAACCTCATATACAAGTCAGAAATTTATGCTGACAGTTTTTTCTAGAAAAACAATGAAAACTTCACGACTAAACCACCCAGATTAGTAACAGCACTTATAATGAAATCATTTTTCTTGACTAATGACATTTTGTCATGTATTTATCATACGAATTGTATTACTGAACACTTATTTTACAATTACGATTGAAAGAACATGTTTGTAGGAAAATATATGATCCCATTTCTTCTATCAAAGTTCGCGAATTTATCTTTATGACAAGGTTTCTAAAATTAATTTATCCATAGTACCTTAACTCATGAAAACCTCACTACTTGAAAATGATGCTCACATATACTAGTAGCAAACGAATTTAATAGATGATCATATTTGATTAAACCATAACTATGGTCAACTGAACATATCTTTATGACAATTAGTCAAGTAAGCAGTTATTTCACAGTTATATAATATACCCTTATGGGACAGGGTAATCTTGCACTGGTTTTCAGGAGAACCAGACATCATCCAGACTTTCACACGATAACCCAAACAGTACAGCTCAATCCCGTTTAACAGGAGAGCCAGACACTGCCTAGGCTTAACCCAAGCAGTACAGCTCAATCCTACCCTATAGGAGAACCAGACACTATAAAGGCTTCAACGCTACAATCTGAACAGTACAGCCCAATCTTGTGGCTCAATCACTCAGGTACCAAACACCCTAGTGGTAAGCTAATATATCTTATTCATACTTCATTGTATACGATTCTCAATCATTTAAATTAACTATCCATTTTAGTAAACCAATGTACGTGACATCACTATAGAATGAATGATATTTATTAAAGCAACCAAGTCATAGGTCCTTGATAATAAAATAGAATCGTGATGGGTTAATATTCAAGCTTTGTTTATTCATTAATAAATGTATATTGATTTGTTACCTCAAATGAAATAATTGCGAAACGAATTAAACTTTGTTTCATAGACTTAAATATTGTTTCCAAAGTGATTACATACTACTATGTCTAAGAATGTTAACTCACAACAAATCATAGATATAAACAGCATACTAACATCCGTTGTTTACATATGATTTATTGAAATAATATTAATTTAGTTATACAAAAGGCTTATCAATGACTTGGATAACTTTGTGTTGACTATACTTTACACACGAACAAGAATTATTCCGAAGAGTAGGCAAAATATCAGCGTACTAACACGTTCTTAATGTATAGAAACTATAATGGATAAGTTTTCTAATTCAGAAATCAAAAGGTTTATGACGTGATTTATTCTGTAATGTAAGTTATAAGTAATAATCAATCTGTCAATGATAATTTGTGATTTTTAAATATATATATATTGGTTGATTGATAATACCTTACACGAATACTCATCTAAAAGTACTACTAAACTTTAAAAACTGAATGCTCTAAAAAAAATTGGTATTTTATAAACAGAATATATATTCGTATATATGAAACAATTCATTAGGATTTGAGATCATAAATCTATTGAAACTAGATCACCATGTAAAACCTAGAAGCACTGGACGGCCGTTTCGTCCTATTGTCGGACACCTCACCAGTGCGCCTCCACAATCTCGAACCATGGACCTATCAGTCTCGCGCGCGACTGCTCAACCACTAGACCAGTGAGCCGGCATCCAACGGTGTTATTGTTTAACTTCAACCAATTCACGAAATTGAGCAACCACTAGGATTTGGTTTTACAAAATAACATTAATAAAATGTCTCATTAGAATTGTAATAAATGTCAATATAAACATATATTTACTTATTTGAGATATAAACATAAGAATAAAGAATTATAAATTCATTGCGTGACGTAATTAACCTTTCTTGATTTTATGCTGAATGGAAAAAAGAGGAAATTATGAAATTACTGATTTCATTCTGGTGAAATTCACGAAATATTTCATTGAAGTCAAAAGTTGATCTTATTTTAACACCTTTTAAAAAACTGGACAGCCATCTATCTCGTCGTGGTATGTGATTCCTCAGCAACCCGTTTCCATGACACTTTACAAGGAATTGAATCAACGACCGTCGACCTTACACCCGAACGCTGTATCTCTGAACTACTGAGCCGGAATCTAATGGTGTTCAAACCTAGTTAACAGTACGAGTGTGGGACAGATGTTGTATTTAAATTCTGACTAGAGATTGTGGATATTAATTGCTGAAAAGTTCCATCCTAGTACGAGATGGGTGTCCAATGATTTCAGGTCTCAATAATTGTATAACTTAATAATCAATTAAGAATTTCAATGAAATTCAACAATCTCCATAACCTCATACTAAGAACTAAATATTATTGATTTTTCTAATTGAGATAAACGGTCATTTCCATTTAAGTCTACATAGTAAACAAAAATGTATCATTAATAAAAGTACAATAATACTATCCAACTAGATAATTTTTAGGTAACTGAATGTAGTATATCTAGCCATAAAGCTTGCGTATGAAGAAGAAACTTAAAGTTAAAATATATTTTGTAGGTATTGTACTTATAAGAACATTGAAAAAGATTAGCAGGAAGAAATTTGAACAAAGGATATACTTTTATATATACAGTGCTTAAAGTTTGATTGAATCACTTCATCACAGAATGAGAATAATATCCTGTGCCGATACAGTAGAAATCGAATCTCTTACTTTACTCAATACTCTCACAAAAAGGGAAAATTATTTAACAAGGCAGCTGTAAGATAATTAGCCAAAATTGGTTGCTAATATTTTTTGTTTATTAGTCTAAGCGCTTCTCTGTCCGACATTCAAAGAGTTTAGGTTTTCTTATTAACTGAAACTTTTCAGTGTAGTTAAATAAAGGTTAAGTGAAAACAATAGAATTCAATCATTGATTATTGAATGCAAAAGAATTAAGAAATATGTCAATTATTTATAATAATCCCCTTTGCTATTAGTTATCTACCAGAAAATGACCGAACTCTAAATCTATCAAACAGTAGGTATAACAATATGAATTTTAAAAAAAATAACAAAATTCTAGGTAACAGGAACCAGCCTCAGGATTTTATCAAAGTTAAAACAGTCTCAGTCTCAGTTGTTGATTATTACAATACAGTAACCCGGTAAGAATAATATAAATCTGATGCCTTGTCATTTTATTTAAATAAATTTGAGTAACAAATTTACCATTCATTTTATTTTTTTCATATCTAACTATTTTATAAATTCTCTAGTCTTTGGTCTAACATTTAGTCTAGCTTTAAGCAAAGATAGATTGTGGCTAACGATAGAATCCAGGACGCGCGTTTCATCCTGTTTGATACTTGTCAGCTGGATCTATCTGTATCTCAGAGATGATGTTCACTCTAGGATTCGAACCCAGTACCGTTCCCTTCAAACGCCACTATGGGATTTGAATCGACAACTGCATCTCTGTGCTGATCTGGTATGGTGACTCGAACTGATGTACGTACGTACGAAGTTCTACGTTGTGACTGACTGATTAGGTGTAACCGAAATAAATAAATAGAAACTATTTTAGAAATGAAATATTTGGATGGTCACCCACTGAAAATAGTTTGTTACACATTTTATTTATCATATAACTAATATTCCATAGTTATCAAATGATGTTTTTTTAACTAAATCTTCACTAATTATTGATCAACCTTCCCTTACTTCGTATTACTATGAATAACACTGATTTCTTTTTTAGTTTGATATTTAGTTTAGCATTATATAATGTTATTCCATCTCCTAGAACATAAAGAATAAACTTATTTGATAAATTAGAAAAAACAAAAACAAATCACCATTTCGAAGCTATACTTTTTTTTTTCTAGATTAGCTAAAAGGGAAGTGAAAAACTCTAATCTATTCGTGAATTAAATAGGAATAATATAATTGAAATATTTCAGCGAATGAGTTTGAAGTAAATCCAATGTCTCGTCTGGTAATTTGATCCAAACTTTTTCAAGGAATTATCAAATACTATGAAATTATTCACTCTAATTTAGACGAAAGTTCTTAGATAGTATTCTGCTAATCGAGAATTATTCGTATTATTATTCGATTTTTTATTATGAATTTATCATACACACACACACTCACACACACAAAACACGACATGATTCTATTCTGATCGTTTTCTTCTTGACATTATGAATTTGTACTTGGTTTTGTTTTGTTTGTTCTATGACATTTATAGTTAAATATCATTTGTCATAGAGATTAAATAACATATAGGTCATATATATGTATCTACGTGTATAATATATATGGTATAACTAAACTGAAACACGTTCTGCATAGTCTACATGATATTTATGGATACGATATCCCTTTATAGTTACTGTTTATTTGTGAAAATACATTTTTAAATATCAAGCTTTACAACGATCACATATATTTCAGTTTTATTATTTCTATAGTTAAGATCATGAGTCAATTGAAGCTAGACCAC